GGTACTCGTCCCCGACCGCGGGGGTGTCGTTTTGGCTGCCGGCGCCTCAAGGCGGGCAGCCACCAATGAGAAGGCAGCACTGGCTCGGCGTATAACTGCTGGAGATTGACGTGGAGGACGCGTCAAATGAATCCCGGTGAAGTCCGGACTCTCGCGGACAACTTCAATTGGCTTTGATCGGATGAAGAGCGCTCTGGTGCCGCGGTGCTGTCACACAACCACGGGGACGCGCTGCAGTCGGAGCCGGAGATTTTAGGAGGTCCTGTCTCTTCTGGGGCTCGGTCCTCTGCAGCTTCAGACTCCCCCCTCTCCGTCCCCCCTCTCCGTCCCCTCTTTTCTTCTTCTTCTTCTTCTTCTTTCGCTCGGACAAGTTCAGCCATTTGAAGAAGCCGAGATTTTTTTTAAATTTTTTTTTTGTTTTTTTTTTATTTAACACCATCATCTGAAAACAGACACAAATGGGTAAGGCTGACTCTGGACCTTCACTGACCGGGGGCTCGTGGACGTGAACGCGGACGCGATTTTGTTTTTTTAACCTCCAAACTTTCATATGCGCAAAAACTCTGACGTCGAGTTTATTTATTTTTTTTAAATCGCATTTCTTTTCTTCAAACTCTGCTGTAAATATATATATATATATATATTTTAAAAAATCCTTATTTGAGGACGTTTTATTCCAAACGCTCTTGTTGTGGATTTCGCCATGTTTTTTTTTTTCGCCGTGTTTTCTTGGATGTGGACGCGGGGATGGAGGAGGTTTTTACTTCTCATTTTTTGTGCAAAAATTGCAGAATAACTGCGAGAGGGCAGCGTGTGGCCGACACATGTTGACGACTCCATCTCCGTGGCCTTAAATTGTGGTGAAAACGAAGGGAGTGTGTGTGTGTGTGTGTGTGTGTGTGTGTGGGTTAGAGAGCGATCATGTCGCGGTCGAATCCTCTCTGTTATTAGTGATGTCTACATTTTCTGGATGAAAATGTTCACTCTGTTTTTTGTTTTTTTTTTTGTCAGACGGTGCCTAGAAATGAAGCTGTTTTTTTCTTTCTATTGACAACACTGTAATTGTTGCCCCCTCCTCCTCCCTCCCCCCCACTTCCCCCTCCTCCTGCAGAGCAAACCTATGGAGAGGTGAACCAGTTAGGCGGCGTGTTCGTCAACGGGCGACCGCTGCCCAACGCCATCCGGTTGAGGATCGTGGAGTTGGCCCAGCTGGGGATCAGGCCGTGCGACATCAGCCGCCAACTGCGCGTCTCTCACGGCTGCGTCAGCAAGATCCTGGCGAGGTACAACGAGACGGGCTCCATCTTGCCCGGTGCCATCGGCGGGAGCAAGCCGCGCGTCACGACGCCGAACGTGGTGAAACATATCAGGGAATACAAACAGAACGACCCCGGGATCTTTGCCTGGGAGATCCGGGACCGGCTGCTGACGGACGGAGTTTGTGACAAGTACAACGTCCCGTCGGTCAGTTCCATCAGCAGGATTTTACGCAACAAGATCGGGAATCTGTCCCAGCCGAACCAGTACGACACCACCAAGCAGGCGTCGGCGCAGGCCGGCCTCTCCTGCAACCACCTTTACCCTTACCCCTACCCCAACAACATGTCCCCCAAGATGAGCAGCCCGCCCGGGGTCCCCGTGACGGCGGGACACATGAGCATATCCAGGGCCTGGCCGTCTGCGCACACCGTCAGCAACATCCTCGGCATACGAGCCTTCATGGACCCGGCAGGTGAGGGCAACACGGGGGGCAGCGACCCACACCTTAGACACCCTCCCCAGTGTTTACATCCAGACAAGACGTTGTTAAAATACGTGACCCCACGTCACTGATTCTCTCTGTCACTTTGAAGGAAAAAAAAAACACACACACACTCTCACTCTCTCTCTCTCACTCTCTCTCACACACACACACACTCTGGTTTGTTTCACGGCAGACTGCCTTTGTTCTATCCCTTTAATCCGTCCAGATAAGAAGTGCTTTTATTTCTTTGACTTTCTGATCCGGTGGTTTTGGTCCCATGTGTGCAGAGTTCACCTGGTGTTTTTGGTGGCTCTGCTGCAGAGGTCCAGGATGTTACTGTCAGTCAGACATATGTGTGTGTTTAGGTCCAGAAATTCAATGTGAATATATGAAATATATTTTTTAAAAATTCACATATTTTATTTATTTTTATATATCAATTCATTTCAGGTCACAAATTTAAATAAACCCCATTAATAATTAATTGGAGTTGTTTAAATAGTTTTTTTTTTAAAAAACCCTGATATGATTTTATAATTAATGTGCATTAAAAAAATAATTAACGCAATCGACTTTTACAAACGGGATATTTAAAAAAATATATGATTAATTGCGTTCATTTATAATGATTTTTTTTATATTTGACAGCCGCAGTTAATTATGAATTATTAATTAAAGCGACATAAACGGTGTTTTTTTTTTCGTCTTTTATTTATTTTTTTAATATTTTTTTTTTTCTAACCTGATTTTGTTTTCCTGTTCAGCCATCGCTGGGACCGAAGGATATGCGCCAAAAATGGAGGAGTGGAGCAGCATGAACCGAGCTGCCTTCCCGGCGGCTCACACCATCAACGGGATCGATAAATCCGCCATTGACGCTGATATTAAGTACGCACAGGTAACCGTAAACAAAAAAAAAAAAAGAAATATACTATAAATATATTCATATAGAAGAATGTACTGCGTGTGTACTTTGCTGGACTGATACCCGGTGTCTGAGCCGGAAGTTGCCGCTGAGGCCTTTGGGGGTAAATAAGTGACGTAGATGATATGACACCCAGAATCAGAACCTACTCTGACGTCATTATAAAGTCGACCGTGCAGGATCTGAATTTTTTTTTTTTTTGCCTCTCCCGCAGCCTTCCTCCACACTGTCCAGTTATGTCTCGGCGTGTGCTTACCCTCCCACCAACCAGTACGGCGTGTACGGCGGCTCAGCAGGGGGGTACGTGGCCCCCGGACACCACCACTGGCAGCCGCAGAGCCCCGTCCTGTCTCATCCAGGAGGCGGCATGGGCATGCACGCAGGGGAGATCCACTCACCGATGGCCTTTAAGCATGAGCAGGCCCGAGAAGGTGAGTGTGAGTGTCAGTGTGTGTGTGTGTGTGTGTGTGTCAGTGTATATGTGTGTGTGTGTGTGTGAAAAATTACAAAAACCAAATCCTGTCTGAATATTCTGGAAAAACGTTGGAGGAAAATGATTAATTTCCCTTAGAGTTAGGGAGTGTCGAAAAGTTACTTTCCTCCTCTTTATTATTATTATTATTATTATTACTAGTACATCTGTCTATGTATCGATAGATAGATCGATTAATCGATAGATCGATCAATCGGGAAATTAAGGCTCTACTGTCAATGAATATGATAAACATGAACAGTGGATGTAGATCAGTTGGTTAGTGTTAGTAGGTTAGTGTTAGTAGGTTAGTAGTTAATTATTGTCGCTGTGTTGTTGAATGTCAATCAATAATTATTTATTATTATTATATTTTTATTATACAATTGTTATTACTAAATTTAATTAGTATTTTATATATATATGTATATGTACACCAACTGAGTATTCCACATTATCTCTATGGTATGTATGTATATACATATATATGTACATATATGTATATATTCATATATATTTCTACATACATATATGCATGTATGTATGTATATATGTATACATATATACAGTATATAAGCGAAACTAGTATAATTATAAGGATGTTATGTGATCAGGTATATGAACAGTTCAACCAGTAGTTAAATAAACTAATGTTGACCAGCTTTATACAGCCGTTATTACTAGGAGTTTCTACACTTACATACAATAATATTATATATTAATATAATTATATAAAATATTATATGATATACATCTTTTATAATACATTTTATAATAATTATTTAGCAGTGCTAACCATTAGCATACAACGTCTACGTCCTTCATGTCGTCCTAGGCAGAACTTGTCACCTCGTCACAGCCACTCACTGTACACAACGTTAATGACGTCAAAACACACGTCACTAATTATATATGTATTCTATTTTATCCCATATGTGTCAACGATTTGTTTGTTCCATGTCTCTTAGTTTGTTTTAAAACATTTACCCATGTGTTCAAATCAGAAAATGAACGCACAGATTTGACACAAGTTCAGCGCAAATTTTCAGCAGAACTTTACAATAATGAAATACATGAATAAATGTGTTACTTAATGAAACTTAAATTTTAACATGATATATATTGTATATTTAAATGTTAGTCATTATTACGTAACAACCACTTAATATGTGTTTATAGACGTATGTGCCATTTCTATCATAATTAACAGTATTTCATTCATTTAAACATTGGTTAGAAACGCTTTGGTAAAATCATAAAATAAATATCAAAAAAATATATATTTAAATTTTTTTTAAAAACAGAATAAAGTAAATTCAAACTCTTTCAGGAATTTCAGCAGAGGAAAAAGTTACAAAATAAATACATTTTTAAAAAAAAGTTCCAGTCAGTTCTTAGAGAGTGACTTTTCCTGAAAATGTTCCTGAAAATCTGACCACTGTCTGTCGTCCGTGCAGGAGACAGGAAGCCACCCAGTCCCTTGAAGCAGCAGCAGCAGCAGCAGCAGCGGCAGCAGCAGCAGCATGAAGACTTGAACAATGTGCACGGACTCAGTCTCCCTACCTCATCATCGTAACCGGAAGTCTTGAGCAGCAGACTTTTAAAAAGAACTCACTTCGTCAGCGCCAACCGTAAGTGTGAACTCTGACCTCCGCGGTCCGGCTGTGGCTCAAACACGGGCTCCCTCACATGCATTACGAGTACAAGTAGGCTGCAGCTTCTAGAGACCGTCACGGACATATGAATGTAGGCTTGCATGGATGTGTCGGTGTCTCCCCTCAGCGGTGGACGGGGGTGTTTTTTTTTTCTGGTTTAAAAAAAAATTTTATGTTTTTTTTTTTTTAGTTTTTTCACTCATATGAGAAATAGGATTTTTTAAGGTACAAAAGCTCAGTTTGTCAACGATGTTTAATATAAAATCATAGGGCTGTTCTTCAATTCACCATAGAGAATATTTTTAGGTTAAGACTTTTGCGCCATGACGTCGATTCTCCGGTGTCTCACCGATGTGAACAGGGAACTAAATTTGTCTAAATGTAAAAAAAAAAAAAAATATTTGGCAAAGCTTTTAATGATATATTTTTTTAATTTCATTGTAAATATTCAAAAAAAATAAATAAAATAAAAGCTTTCCTTTATGCCACATGCGTTCTCACCGACTGGATTCTATTGTTTTTTGTTTTGTTTTTGTTTCTTATTTTAAAGTAAAGGTAACGAAGATTTTTTTTTCGTACCTTTACGTGTGTTTGGTGTTTATGTGACATTATTCAAATATATGTATTTATATATTTATTATGATTAATGTTGGAACAAAAACCGTTTCATTTTTAATAATGTATAATTATTATTATTATTAAGAAATGTTGATCCGATGCGTTGACGGTTGTAATCGAATCGTGCCGTGACGGAAATCCCGTTTTAATCCCACAGTTGGGCGTTTATTCTTTGTGAAAATTTTTAACCAAATACTCGTTGGTTCCCTGACCACACGAGTCCGTCTGACATTTTACGACCATAATGCAGCGCGCTGCGGTCTGACCCATAAGGAAATAAGGAAGGCAGGAGTTCCGGTTTGACCGGGAACAAAACGGTTCTTTCTCTAATTTGAGTTCAGCCACTAAGTTTTGACTGTGAGGATGATTGGAGTGAAGTTGTGTTTGTCACTGTGCAGTATTTCGGTGCACCGCGGTTCACAGGCGGAGGACGGAGCAGAACAACAGAAGAAAAAAAAAAATATATATATAATGTTTTATTTTAGTTGAATTTATTTAGAATATTTTGACAAAAGTCACATCATCATTAGAGAATTTCCATTTTTCTTTTTTAAAAAAAAAAACCAAACATGTTAGTTTTACTTCATCACTCCATTTTTCTACATATATTTTTGATAAAAAAATATTTTAAAAAAATACTTCTACTGTTTCTACTGAAGTAAACCCACAGCTGCAGGTATGACTTGGTCTTTTGTAGATTAAAATCTACTGTGACCTTTTATAAAAACCCAAATTTGCACCAGGAGCCAACGTTGTTCACTCTCCCTTTTTAAAAATAATTAAAAAAAAAAAATCTCACAGCAAATATTTCCTCCAGACAAAATGATTCTATATATAATTCTACAGATTGAATTCTACACAGTGAACCTTCAAATGTTTTTTTTTTCTTTTTAAATAATCTGAGAACCAGAGTCAAAGTCAAAGTATTTGGTAAAAAGCTGAGTACTTTTCTCAGTACACAGTACTTCAAAAATGTGATTCTTTATAAAAAAATATTCATTTGATAAAAAAGTTTGAATATGGTGAAAATATAAAATGCACCATATACATATATTTTATATATATATTCACATTTGAATCATGACTGAAAGTCATTTTTACCAAAATATATTTTTGATAATTAACCTTTTTTTTTTACTTTCTTAATTGGGAAACAAACATTTAAAAACATTAAGACTCCTCTATCCTCTGACAGTAACACCCCCCCCCATCCCCCTCCCTCTGCCCCCCCCCGACTGGAGTTGTACATGTTTTCCCGGATACCACTTGGGGTTCAGAAAACACTCCTTCATGGTGGTGGGGTTACTTCCTCCGGGACCTGTGCTCATCAATCAGGGCGGCCAGTGATGCCCCCCCACGGTGTCCACTCCGTGTGGGACGGGCAGCAAGTGCGCCGCTTCAAAACCCCAGTTTCTACCGTTTACACAGAGCTCACAGTGTTTGGTGAAAGTGTAGAGTCTGCACCTGAAAACGGTCGCAGTAAAAAAAAAAAAAAAAAAAAAAAAAGCAACTTTTTTATTCTGGAATAACCAGAAAACTGAAGTTTGTGATGAAAGTTGAGGAAAGTTTGTTAAACGACTTCAGATTCACTTCTTTATAAGGTTTTTCGGAAAAATAACACGAGTACTACAAATAAGGTTTTTCGGAAAAATAACACGAGCAAAATGCAAATTGAAAATCTCTTTCTTTTTTCCGATATTAACTTTTTGCCGATATCCGATGTCGTCCAAACATTCTGTTGTAGCGAGGCAGTTGTGGCCTGGTGGTGTTTTCGGAGCTGCGGCACACGCGGTCGAGCGTCGGAGTGACCAACTTCCTGTTTTGTTGTTTTAATTAAAAAAAAGTTAGCGCCATCTACATGTCGATCACGGTGCTGGACATATTCAAACGTAGACGATGCTGGGGGCTTCCTTTTAGGGTCACCTGCTCATGGGTGACAGGTTAAAGCAGTGTTTCTCACTATTTTCTGTCAAGCCCCCCCTAGGGGACAAAAGGTGTTTCACCCACTGACAGTAATATTTATTTATTTATCTGTATAAACCACTGTATACAGCATTCTGGATACAGTCTCCTGAGTTTTAAAATAAATTATCAAAATCAGCTGCTATGCTGCCATCTAGTGGCGTTTACTTTCACATACAGCTGTTTTTCCCCCAAAACTATTTTTTTTGTTTACTTTTTATTGTAAGAAATGAATGTGTTGGAGATAACGGTGAAGTCGGATTAAATATTGATGTCTAGCGTTGTTGTCGGACCAGTGTCGAGCTAACGTCACTGACGCTGACGTGTTAGCTTTCGGTGTTGACCTATCCCAGTTAGCCAAGAGTCGCTTCTCTCCTCGGTCTCAAGACTTGACACGATCGTATCTCGGTGCAGACGAGACGGCGGTTCACGCCCCAGGTGTTTGGTGAAGAAAAGGTAAAGAAAGACACGAGAGAGAGAGAGAGAGAGAGAGAGAAAACTCTTAGGGAGAGAGAGAAGAGCGAGTTGGCAAAGTGATCGGATTCCAGGTGTCGGCAGTTCTTGTGTCTGAAATTCAAAAGAACGCTGTCGCCATGGAAACGCGGAGGCTACAAACAGGCAGAGTAAAAAGTCTTAACATGTGGCCGTCACGCCGTCTGAGGAGCCGGGTCAAACCGTCAAATCCTGAAGAAGAAGAAGAAGATCAGGCTCGACCAATAGATCACAGAGGGATCTACTGGTAGAGCCTGATCCTTTAAAATACAAATATATATATATTTAGTAGTACAGACCATATACTGTACACCTTCCTGTATTTAATCGGTACCCAAACATACCTTGTCTGTGTACCAGGGGTTTCAAACCCATTTGGGTTCATGGCCCACATTTAGCCTGATTAGATACCATGTGGGCCGGACCAGTACAACCGTAACATAATTACATATAAATAATAATAAGGTCAAGTTTGTTTTTATGCAAAGAAGTACAAGTATATGGGAAAATATATTTATATTTAATTAAATACAATTTGACAAAACAAAAAAGTTGTTTTTTTTTTTTTTTTTGCACTTTCAAAAATTCACCATGCGGGCCGGGTTGAACCCCCTAACGGGCCGGGTTTGGCCCACGGACCGTACGTTTGGCACTCCTGTTATATAAAATATGTTGCGTTTATGTTAGTAAATATATTTTAATGTTTTCAATCACTTCAGCTCTGTCGTTTGAATATTAACTCCCCCCCCCCCCCCCCCCCCTCCCCCCTCC